GGGGGGGATTAGCTAGATTTGGGGATTTGGGAACCCGGTAACCTCGGGACTGGGCTGGGGTTGGCTGCCTGCCTGCCTACAGTGTGTTTGTGAAGCTCGCTTCCGTTTTCTCTACATAGTCTCTAAAATGAAACGGTCCTTTTGCGAATTAGCTTTGTGCCCCTGTCGATGGAAACAATATTTGCCTGCAATTTCGAAAAGGGTTCTCAAAAGGAATATCTTTTATTTGGAGATATATTATTATTAAATTAAATATTTAAATGCATGTCAAAATAATTTGCAACAGTTATAAAAATTAAATATTTTTTTTCTCTTAAGAGATAACTAAGAAAAATAATAATAATAATAATAATTGAATCAAAGGTAAATCGTTTCCATAGTTATTTTGTAGATTAACCCAACTTGATAATGGCTACTAACATACCAAATTGCCATCCTACATTAACTAATCCCAATAGGTTAGGCCTACACCTAAAACATAATTGCCAACTAATCACACAATTAAACCAAAAAGAAATTGAGATATAATGAAAGTTTGCACTAGATAGAATCCATTGTTTATCTTTTCATGTCAACCAAAATTTAGAAATAAATCAATTTATAAGCATGAAAATTGGACCATTAATATAAAACAGTCAACAAATAATAGTAATAAAATTCAACAAGATATGAAAATTCTTCAAAATTTTCCAAAATGTAATTATATTTACAATATTTTTCATAATATAATATACCAAACATTTTCGTACACCTTTTTATTTTTCCCTTTTCTTTATGATAAAGTTTGGTATTAGATGATTAATTCAAAATTCATAGTGATCTACACATGGTGATTAGATCAGCCGTATTTGATAAGAAACTTAGTTGCTTTACATATAAGTGATCTAATATTATTGAGAGTGATTAGATCAATCTCTTAGAGATGATCTAAATCTTATCCAAAATAGTGGGGAACTTTTATTACCAAATTGAAGTGATTAAACTTAACTATATACCATTTTTTTTTTGGAAATAGAACTATATAAAATTTTAGTCTTGTAATGTGTGAATAAAAACTTGTTTTCCTCCCAAAATTGTTCTTATGACTGTTATAAATTTTTACTTTTTCATAATAGTATTCCTTGTACCAAACTCAAAAATAAAATATGTGTGTGTGTGTGTTTTTACTTTGTTTTATTTGTTACATGTATAATAATATAATTTCTTGTTTTCTTTCTGTTATAATTTTTGATAAACTAATTTTCATTTTCTCATTAAGATCTTTTTACAAGTAATTTTTATTGTAAACTTTAGTTTATCTATGAATAAATATAATTTTTTATATTTGTTAATTTAATAATATAATTATATTTTATGAAAAAATAAAACATTAATTTTTTTACAAATTATTATTATCAAAATTATTAATCTTTTTAATTACTCCAACATGATTATTCTGGTATTTGAAACAACCTCGCATTTGATTTCCAGTGTTGACAATCATAATGATTTTTAGCAATCCAAGGCCTAAATCCTTCATAGGATGGCGCCAATGATCCCAAAGAAGAAATTTTCCATTGAATTTAGTAAGTCATTTGCCTCCATTGAATATAGCAATTGTGTAATAACCAGATCATTCCTGGAGTTTCAATTGTTGCTATTAAGAATGTGGTAATAAAATGAGAATTTTCTTTCCTGGGCGTTTCCCTGATAGACCAATTATGCCAGGTGTCCTCATGATACGTTTCGATTATTAATAAATTGTCTCTGTGGCTAGTTGAGTATGAGGACCTGGCAGCTGTTGCTCACTCACTCTCCCTGTGGCATTGTGGAATGAGGAAGAGTGGCATTGTGGCCGTTGAAACCCCCTGTTCTGTCATTCCCTTGGTTTAACTCAACCATAGACGGAAAGATGGGTTGGCCTTTAGTTTATCTTGGTAAAGTTGGATGAATGGATATCATTAGAAAACAGATTTTAAAGTGCTTATCTGCTTGTGTCTTTATATTTTATCAACTATCTGATTCTTTCTGTGTCACTCAGCCTTCTTGATGATTTCTTAATGGTTCAACTTTAAGTAAAAATCTGCAAATGCAACCTTGGATTTGGCATTTTCAGAACAAGTTAACCATCCCATTTGTTTTCCCATGAGTATTACTAGTCCTGCTGATGCTTTGGCTTTTAGCAATTTAGCCTCTATTATTTGAGAATTTCCATGGAATGAACTATGCAGAATTTGGAACTAGTGGCTCCAGGAGCCGTTAGGCATTCGTTACTGATAAGACATCGGTAGCATCTTGTGTGTAATCAATGAGATTAGACATTTTCAGAAGTAATCAGTATTAAAACATATTAAAGACTTATGGCATGTATGAGCCAACTCAGTCGTAAGAAAGAATTTTGAACTACTAGGGGAACTCATCAACTCAACGTTCGAACAATAACATTTCCATTTTTCTTGCGCGACTGTCCTTCCTTTAAAACATAACTCAATTATCTACACCAGCATGACATTTATTTCTTTACAAGCCAAGAGCACCAAGGGGTGTCTTTCCTTGGCCAGCCTCAAAGTAGAAAATCAACATGGCCAACATGGCAATTCTAGCGTGCTTAATCTCAGCGAGCTTGAGTCTCTCGAGCTTGTCATAATCAGGGATGTAGAGACCATTCTGGATGGTTCCTGCAAGGCATAATGGGTCAAAGAACTTGCCTCCAGGGTAGCCCTGCTCCCCCGTGGAGTTGGCGAAGTTCTCAGCGGTCTTGGACCATGGAGTGGCCCATTCCACAGATTGAGATTGTGGGTTGAAGAAGTCTACCCAGCGCTTGCTTTCCACCCAACCCATAAGGATTAGCTGGGTACCCAGGAGTGAGCCGAACGAGAAAGGGGCTATTGCACCTGGATCAGCTCCGGCCTCGAACCAGGGAACACCACTCCACGCCTGACCTACGAAGATGCCCACAACAGCTGTCATGGCCCAGCGCCCGTGAATCAGCTCAGCTTCTCTGTACCATCTGAGGAATGCCGGGTCCTTGCCTAGACCAAGGGGGTCAAATCCATAGTCTCCAGGAAGGCTGCAGTTTAAAATGGAGCAAAACTTAAGAGCAAAGTAGAATTACCGAAACAAGGAAAAAGGGCCGTTAAGGAAGAGGGAACACATACGATCCATCGAGCCACTCAGGGTTAATGAAGTTGCCACCACCTCTAACACCCGGGATCCAAGACTTTTTAGGTGCAGCAGCAGCTACAACTACCAACTTCCTAGTTCCAGAAGCAGGGGTTGTCACTCTAGCACCCAACAGGGCCCGGCTCCTCTTTCCTCCACAAAGAAATGGAGACCCCAACCCGTTTAGCACAGCCCCAGATGTTGCAGCCATCTGTTTTTTTTCTTTGCTCTAACTCTCCGCTCCCTAGGCTTGAACTATGACAGTGTGGTGCTCGAGGCTTCTGGCGCAAATGGGGACTTGTCAGTTTTTTTTGATCAGGTATGTGACTTGTGCGGGGGCGGAGTGCGCTGGAGGGCGCGGCGGGCCCGGCCGGCGGCGCCGCGCGGCGCGCGGGGGCCGCCCGGCGCCGCGGCGGGCGGTCGGCCACCGACGCGGGCGGGCGGGGCGAGCCCACGCGGCCCGCGGGGGCCGGGCGGCACCGGTGGGCGGCGCCGCGGGCGGGCCAGGGGCACGCGCGGCCCGCTGCCCGCAGCCGCCGCCCGGGGCGGCGCCCGGCGCGGGCCGGCCCCGGGCCGCGCGACGGCGCGCGCGGGCGGGGGCGCGAGGGGGGCGCGGCCGCGCTCCCGCCGCCAGCGCGCGGCCCGCGCGCGCGCCGGCCGCCGCGCGGGGCAGCCGGGGGGCCGGTCGCGCGGCCCACGGGGAGGGCGGCCGACGGCGCTCGGACCGGGGCGACGCGGCGCGCGCCGGGTCGCCGGGGGGGCGGGCGCGGGCGGCGCGCGGGGGCCGGCTGGCGCCGGGGCCGCGCCCGCGCGCGCGCGGCGCCTGGGCGCGGCCACGCGGCCGCGCGGCCCCCCGCGGCCGCGGCGCGCGGGCCGCCGGCCGGCGCGGGGCGCGCGGCGCCGGCCGGGGCGGGCGCGGGCGCGCGGGCGGCCCGCCGGCCGCCCGGCCGCGCCGTCGCGGGCTGCCCGGCGGGCGCGCGGGGCGGACGGCGGGCCGCCCAGCGCGGCGGGCGGCGTGCGTAGGTCGGGCTGCGCGTCGCCGCGCGGCGCGTGCGCCGGCGGTGGCGCGCGCGGGCCGGGCGGCGGCGGCGCTCGCTCCTGCCGCCTCCGATCCGCCGGCGGCCGCGGCCCAGCGGGTCGGGGCCGCGCTGTCGGCGACGCGGAGCGCGCGCCGGCCGCGCTCGGCGCGCGGGCGCGCCGCGCGCCCGCGGGCGCGCGGGGGGCGCCCTCGGCGGCGTCGACGACGGGGCGGCCAGGGCCCCTGCGGCGCGCGCCCCGGGCCGCGACCGTGCGCGTGCAGTCGCGGGCGCGGCGCGGGCGGCCCGGTCGCCCCGGCGCGGCGCCGGCCCCGGCGCCGGGCGCGCGGGGGGGCAGCCGCGGCGCGCGGCTGCGCGTCGGCGACGCGCGGCGCGCGACCGCGGCGGGGCAGCGCGGCCGCCGCGGGCGAGGTCGGGTCCGGGGCGCGTCTGCGCGCGCGGGCGGCCCCCGCGCGCTGGCGGCGCTGGCCGGCGCGGGGCCGCCGCATCGCCCGGGCGCGCGGGCCGGCTGCCCTGAGCCCGGCGGCGGCCGGCCAGGCGGCGGGCCGAAGCCGAGGCGCGGCCGCGGCGGGGCCGCGGGGGCGCGCAGAATCAACAGAAGGATTTGTAGAGAGCCATGTAGGATAATGAAATCTAGAGGCAGGATATCCTAAGCAAGTAACGAGGATAGATTCGGACCAATGGGGAGGTTAAGGTCCATCCACATCTCCACGTTGCGCCCAACCACGTGGACCTGTTATTTGCCTCTATTTTTTGGTTCCTTGTACAGTCCACCAATATCTTAGTTATCCAAGGATATGCTTTGATGCTTCTGGGGATGTGGATCCTGTTTATGCTGTTGATGCCCTCCTCGTACGTCATTGACCACAACTCACTACCCGGTTTTCCTGTTACTTTTTTTGGCTTGTTTGAGTTCAGGAAGTGTTTAGTCTTTCCTTTGGGTTCTTGCCATTACAAATTGCAACTCGACTACTATTCTAAAATATCTTTCTCATTGGGCTGGGTTTTTTCAATGTGTAAGGTAGAACAACCGTATTATTTCACATTTTTCATTTCATAATTCGCGGTACAAGAACCACTGAAAGTTTATTTATTTTCGTTTAAGAGTGGGATCAGCCTTCAAGTCAAGGGCATTGTACTATGGGTTATAACAATGGCGACCAAAAACTTTGGATTATAGCAACAATGAAGCTGACAAAAGTAGTCTGTTGTTTTTGGCTTAGAATTTTTAATTAAGTGTTAAGGTTTAGCCTTGAAAGGATTGGAGTTTCGTCAACTGCCATAATTGAGGGGCTATGAAGGCCGCCGAGGATAAATGTTGCCATGAATTGGAGTTTCTTTCATTGAACACTTGCCTATGAATTCTCCGGAAAATAAAAATTGCCCGTGCTTTTGCAGTTGATAACACTTCAAGTCTCCGACAACTAAACTAAATTGAATGCAAGGTTGAATGCTAAAGGAACGTCCAACTGTTGATTTTGATGCATATGCTAAAATCAATTCACTTGGAATCAAACTCTGTGATTGATTTGATGAAAATAGCTAGTAATCACTTCCAAAGGATTCCTTTTCAAAGGTGCCAATCCAGCGGCTCTCATTCAATGGACTCGGGTCCTCTACCATAACAGCAGCCAAAAAAATCAACACCAATTGAAAAATCTTTTAGAAAAATTTAAATTTGATTAGTCCAAATTCAAATTGATAAAAAATAAAAAAAAATTGAATGCGGACCAACTTGAATTCTAAATTATATGATTTTAAAAAACTTTTTTAACTCAAAACAATTAAAATTTAAAATAATTCAAACTTAAAATAATTTAAATTCAAAAATATGTTAAATTAATTATAACTTACCTAAAATCTTAAAAAATTCAAACTTAATTTAATATCAAAACAATTCAAATTAAAATTTATCAATTTGTCACCTCTATTGAGAAACCTTCACTCTATGGGATGAGCTATAGCCTATACTTGTTTCATAATAAAATGGAATTTATATTTAATGCATTGACAATATATAATTTTTATACACTATCAACAAATCACAAAAATATCATTTCATTAATGCAAAAATAAAAAATGTATAAATACTTAAAATTAAATATTAATAACTTTCTTTCTAAAACTCTCTTTCAAATTCTGTCTTTTATCTATATATATATTGGCATGTAGAGATAGAGAACGGTGTAAGAAAAATTTTTTATGGAATATTTTTTTAAAAAATTTATAACTTTGTGGGTAATCTTGTAAAATACAAAACCTTAAAACCATCTGGCCCATCTCACCATGCACAAGCATGCTTTGCATCAGGATTGTGGGCAAAAATTGATGCCCGAGATTTCATATCTATAAAATCAAAACAAAATTTGTTAAATAATACAGCTTTTTATTTTTAACTACAGTTTTCTTTCTTTTGACACGTGTTAGACATAAACTGTAGATTTGAACCTTGCCTACCAACAGCCGATCCCCGCCTATAACTTCCTTATCCCCAAAAGAGGATGAATTCCCCACACTTGGCTCCTAAAACGAGCATGGCCATTCTCTTCCTCTTCCTTCGCCAACAATCACGACTTCCTACGACATAAAATGGGTGTGTAGTTTGGCTATGGCTGCAGATCTCTTCTTCGCTTCTCTCGAAGCTCGCTCCTTGAGCTACTCCTGCTGTAACCAACCACTCTTCTGTCCCTTCCGCCTCCCTCCACTGCCTTTTCACACGCTTCGCCTATCCGCTGCCAAGCCTAAAGTCGGTCACCAGTTCGTTTCCAGATGCTCGAATTCCTATTCGGAATCCGTTCCTGGAGATGTCGATATCCTTTCAGTAACCGGTACGCCGTTCAAAACTCATGATTCCTTCTGTTTTTGGTTACTTTAGAATGATCGGATCCACTGTTTGTTCAACTCTTGTGAATAACAAAATCCACGAATGGAATGCATAACTTTGTTTTTATATTTTATTCATTTCTTATTTCTAATCAAATATTTGGCTTTTGCTTTTTAGCAACTTTCAGAAAACAACTAGGGAGAGTATCAACTAAAAGAAGCTTAAATAAATATATGGGTGTTGCTATTGTTTTCCCTTATAATTTTGAGCATTGGTGAAATGAGCAGAGTGTTCTGATGGCAGCATCATCTTCCGGTTCGGAAATGCGAGGGAAATGGCAATAAATAAAGGGGAACAATCTCAATCAACCAATGAAAGTGTTGAGGTTGTTACCCAAGTTGGCGGGAAAGATTTGGACGAACAAGTCATGAGCAGTAGTAATGTAGTTGATGTTTCTGATGGAGAGCCTGAAGGAGGAGAGTCTGTCAGCAAGAAAGTTGATCGTAACTTAAAAGTTAAATCTCAACCAAAGAAAAAACCAAGACGTAATACAACCAGAGTAGTTGAAGTTGTTAAAGAGAAAGCTGCCTCTGTTATCGGTAATGACACTGAGATTGAGAAAAGTTCGGTTGATTCTTCCAAGCATATACATCCTAAAGACGGTTCTATTGAGCTTGATAATGTTGCAACAGTAGAAAATAGTAGTGTCCCTGAGGGAATTGGTGAGAGTATTAGTAAAACTGAGGGTACTACTTTGAATATGGTGTCAAAGATGGATGTAGTTCCCGTTGTAGAAAAGGTTTCTCCTCCATTGGCAGCATCTGCCGTTGAAAGTGAAATTACTACTCAATTAGCTTCTTCAGAGTCTGATTCTAAAACTGAAGTGCCTCATGGTGTTAAGTTCCAGGAAGAAAATACTGATGCTTCTGAGGGAAATGGCGAGAAAATTGTTAAAATTGAGGGCACTACTTTGAATATGGTGTCGAAGATGGATTTAGTTCCTGATGTAGAAAAGGTTTCTCCTCCAAGGGCAGCTTCTGCCGTTGAAAGTGAAATTACTACTCAATTAGATTCTTTAGAGTCCAGTTCTAAAATTGAAGTTCCCCATGGTATTAAGTTTCAGGAAGAAAATAGTGGTGCTTCTGAGGGAAATGGTGAGGGCACTACTTTGAATATGGTGTCAAAGATGGATTTAGTTCCTGATGTAGAAAATGTTTCTCCTCCATTGGCAGTTTCTGCTGTTGAAAGTGAAATTACTACTCAATTAGCTTCTTCAGAGTCCAGTTCTACAATTGAAGTCCCCCATGGTCTTAAGTCCCAGAAAGAAAATAATGGTGCTTCTGAGGGAAATGGTGAGAATGTTGGTAAATTTGAGGCTACTATTTTGAATATGGTGTCAAAGATCGATTTAGTTCCTGATGTAGAAAAGGTTTCTCCTCCATTGGCAGCTTATGCTGTCGAAAGTGCTATTACATCTCAATTAGCTTCTTTAGAGTCTGCTTCTGAAAGTGAAGTGCCTCACGGTGTTAAGTTCCAGGAAGAAAACACTGGTACTTCTAATGGAAATCTTGAAAGTACAGTTAAGATTGGGGGTACTACTTTGAATACAGAGTCAAAGATGGATTTAGCAATGAAAGAGGTTTGTGCTGAAGTGGCAGCTTCTGAAAATAATATTGAAAGTGAAGCTACAACTCAATCTACTTCTTTAGGGACCTGCTCCAAAATGGACGTACCTCACAGTCTTAAGTTCCAGGAAAGTGGCAAGGATGATGCTAGTGAAAACTTTGCAAATCTACCTGTGTCTTCCAGAGAACATGGTGAGGAACATAACATAAATGCATCAAAAAAGTTAGTGATGGTAGTTGGTGAAGATAAGCTAAGATCCACTTTGTCTGAGGTTGAGTCAATTCTCAATGAGGCAACTGTCCATAAGACAGTGGAAGAATCTGTTGATGACGATGTAGTTAAGAGCTCAAAAATGGTTAGTTTCTATTTTTGTTTGTTTTTGCAGCTACCACATCTTTCTTTTGGGTATCTATATTCAAATATAAACATCCCAGTCAACATTATATTAAACGTAATACTATAAATTTTTTATGAAACTGATAATGAGGTTATTGTGATAGTCCATACTCCAAAATTTTTCTGTTGCTCATATGTGATTAGTTGTAGCACTCTCACATTGCATCTGCCTATAATTTATCTTTTCTCTTATCCATAATTTATGTCAAGTATTTAAGTTTTCAAACATAAGGTATGAGATCTAAGAAAGATAAATATTAATAACCTGGTAGCATTAATCTAAATATTCTAAGAGAAGTGCTGTAATCTCTGCAAAGAAATAGAAATGGATTTAAGTATGACCATCTAAAGATGAACTACAATCCAAGGCTTTAGGAATGTTCTGGGTTTGATTTTCTGGCTATATGTCTTTTAAGTTGTGGAAGATTCATGACAGTATGCTGGTAACATATTATGTATTCTTCAGATTGTTAAGTTTTATTAAGTTGAAGAAATCTAGAACTACCTTAAAGAATATTGATGGGGCTTAAATATGATGCCCTTCCTAATTTTCAAATGCTGCCTCCCTGTGCATATGAGCACTTATTATCTGTAAGATATTTTGTTTTGAAGCCTAATGCATTATCATCATGAAGAATTCCCCTATTATACCACCTGAATTTATTTTGTTAATTAATTGTTCTATCAAATTAAAGGATCTAGAGTTCTTTGTATCTATGTTGTTTGTAGTCAGATGAGGGTGTACCTTTATCAAGTTTCAAAGAAGAGATAACTGAAGGTGGCGCAAGAAGTGGTAATGAAGTTAGAGTGCCAATGCTTAAAGGAGTAGAAGTACTGTCAGGTGGCACAATTTTGGAAAGGTACACTGCCTGTAGCCATAATGAAATATTGATACATGAGACAACAAGTTTACCATCTCCCTTAGATTACATACTTTGTGCAAGGAGGTTTCTGTCTGTTGCATAGATCACTGCATTGCTTATGTCATTGATAAGATTCTTATTCAACAAATTTATATGAAAGGTGAAGTGGCTGGCCAAAGTTTGGTTCTTCTATTGTCTTTTGGCCCCATTGGTGTTGTGTTCATTATGATTTCTTTCTAGAATAGGTGATTGATCCTTCACGCGCTTGTGGAAAATGTGAGGAAACAACAATCATTATTTTCCCTGCCCTTTTTTGCGAGGGTAGAGGAGAGGGGGGGGGGGGGGGGGTTTGTAGGGGGTAGGGACCGGCAAAAACCATATAAAGTAGTTGCTAACATAACATATCAAAGATGATAAGCGGGACAAGTATCTGGGTTATTTTTTGAGGAGTTCTCTTCCATTTTCATGTTTGCTTATGTAAATGTATGCAAACAGGGAGGAAATTGCAACAGCAGGATTTTTCTTATATTCTGGTGCTGCTCTATTGCCAAATCCCACTAAGGTACTTCATGATGGCCATAAACTTTACCTTCTCTATTATTTTTTTTGATTTGCCAGAAAAGTTGTTTTGTCATGCAATCTTTCGGGAATTATTCTTAAATAGAATAAAAGCAAAATCAAAATTCTCTGTTACTTAAATTTACCATCAGGTTTTGTCTAGTTTGACATTTTAATGTTATTGATCCATATAATGCCTAGAAATGCATCTCTCCCACTTTTCTGAGAGTAAACTTTTTCTTAATGTTACATGTACCAATGCTTCCTTTGAAAAATTTAATTTTGAAAGCTGTCAGTAGCCTGAACACTTTGATGCATGCTATACTTGAGTTTGAGAATTCTGTGTGAGTAATTCGAAAAGTAATAATTCCAGGCCTTCGCAGGTGGAGAGGATGCTTATTTTATTGCTTGCCAGAAATGGCTTGGTGTTGCTGATGGAGTTGGTCAGTGGTCATTTGAAGGTATTATTGTTTTTAGCCTTCCCCTCTTTTGTTCTCACCACAGCCGAGTCTTTGTATGGCATGAGTTTGTGTTGCTTTTTTGTCCTTGTATTTGCTAATTAGGACAGAATTGCTTCAATACATACCAAATTTACATTCCCTTTAGAAACTTTGCGGATATATTTTGTACCAATTGTTGAATCTCTGACAGCATACTAATAAATAGAATAAATGTCATCATAGGTTTTGCCACATCTGGGCTGAATTATTTGTTTGATATTTTATTCTTCAGGGATTAGTGTTGGATTACATGCAAAAGAACTTATGGAAAACTGTGAAAAAATCGTGTCTGATAGAAATGGAGTTCCAATAACTGACCCAGTAGAGGTCCTTAACAGAGGTGCTGCAAAAACTCAATCTTGTGGTTCATCTACAGTTTTGGTTGCTTACTTTGATGATTGGGTATGTTGTCATTTAACTTGAGATGCTTTTCTTCTATGCAAATTGCCTAAAGGTGCCCCTTTTTTTATACTTTCTCAGTTATTATGGGCGAACATACAACGGAATCCCAATCAAACTAAGTCTCACAGACCAACCAACACAATAACCTCCAAATTCAACCAAATCTGGGATTTACTAATGAGCCTTGAGTCAAGAAACTTGAGAAAACCTAATTTACTTCACTATAGGCATCGTAACTTAATGAATATAGAAATAGACTCATCATTTGATAAATCTTGATTGCTCAAGATCTTGAATAAGCCCCATATTTTCTATAAATTTTCTTTTCCCTGAACTTCTTGTAGTCTGCATGAAGTGCAAGGCTAGCGGGTTAACAAACATTTGAATTCATATTGGGAGTCTTATATCTATGTATGATCATTTCTCCATCAGATAGCTTCCTGGAATTAATAATATATTATAAAATAATAATCTAAAACAAAAATCGTTGTGCTTTCTTTTCAATTGTTGAACAAACAGATAGGGTCTGCACTAGTGAGATTGAAACAAAGAGTTTCTTGTATTAGGGTTGGATCTAATGGCAACATAGTTCCACAAGTTTATAATGCTCACCCATACACTGTATACATTTAATATTTTGCTTATATTATGTGTAATTTTGTATGAATAAGTGTCACTTAATCACTTAAATGTAAATATAAGCAAACAAGTAAAAGTTCTGTTCACCAAAATATGCATGGACCAAGGATTAATGCTGACTGTTTGGAAGTCAAATTTATTTTTTCCGGACAACTACATTGTATTTTCTCAATAATTTAATGGCGTGGTTTTTGTCAAGGGAAAAAAAGAGCTGAAAATGTGCTTGGTTCTCCCTTTTGCGACTCATGCTTTGAAGGCAATACCTTTGTGTTGACAATTTGAATCTACAGGCTCTCCATGTGGCCTATATTGGTGATTCAGGCTTTATAATTATAAGAAACGGCGCTGTGTTTAAGAGGTCTTCTCCGATGGTTTATGAGTTCAATTTTCCCTTACAGATTAAAAGAGGAGACAATCCCTCTGACTTTGTGGAGGTATGATGGTTTGAATTACATTTCTAATGCATACTTATAATTTCTTTATTATTCCGTTTCTAAACCCTAAACCCTGATCTTTGAAAAGCTGATTTGAACAACACGTCCTATCAAACATCTGTTGAATTTCATTTATGTTTCAAAGTGGAAGGTGAAAGGTTTGCCTCCCCTCCACCCCTCCTTCCCCACTCCTCTTAAAATGAAAAAAAAAAAAGTTCAATCTGTGACACAATGGCTGCTGGTGTCTTCCAGGTTTACAGAATTGATTTGAATGAAGGTGATGTAATTGTCACTGCAAGTGATGGACTTTTTGATAATTTATATGAGCAAGATATAGCTTCAATTGTCGTCAAATCATTGCAAGAGAGTTTGAGGCCTCAGGTGCTTATCAGTGTTGCTACATTTCCATTTCTTTTCCCAAATAGTGAAATGCAATAAGTTATGTGCTTGATATGATAAAATCCGGTGTTATGAACATAGTAATCCTACATTTCTTTCATAGCTTGTACTAGATTTGAGCAGCAAATTCAAAATGGTGATTGCAACAACGAGCTTTCCTTTTTGGCTAGGGTCCACCCTAAATATTGCTGTATAACATCAACTAATTGACTATTAAAGTGAAATTCTGGTCTCAATCCCAAACAATTACAGCTAATTAGTTTTCTAATAAAAGCTGTTTTTTTTTTTTTTTGATAATAAAAGCTGGTGTTTTAATCTTTGTAAAACTCACTCTGTCTTTATAGATGCCTTTTCTTTGGGTGTAAGTGCATTTCTATTGCAGGAAATAGCAAAACTCTTGGCAACCAGAGCGCAAGAGGTTGGTCAGTTATCATCTGTTAGGAGTCCATTTGCGGATGAAGCTCAGGCCGCTGGATATGTGGGATATAGGGGTGGCAAGCTTGATGACGTGACTGTTATTGTGTCATTGGTGAAAAGGCGATTCAGCAATCATGTACAGTAAGTTTGGTCTCTTTTCCCTGGTTTAAATTTGAGCTATATCACGTGGGAATTTACATATGTATAATAGCCTGTCATTTAAGATAAGTTATAAGATCATTATAAAGAAATATGGCTGACTGTTGCCAGCCTAAGCTTTTCAAAAGTGAACCCTTGTTTGCCCATTAAGGATTCTATCTTGCCATTCTTGTGATTCCTGTTAATTTAATAAATTTATCTGAAGATCATTGATCCCATTCTTAGGGGGAAAGTATCTTGATATTGGAGCAGTGTCAACTATTTTTGGTTCATTTATTATTGCATGTCATGGTGAGAAAGCAGTACAAGTTCTTCAGTTAAACCATGTTTAGTTTTATCATGATGTTTTAATTCCTATCAAACCTGTGGGATTGTCCACTCCATATTAGTTAGACTTGGATATTGGTATTGGTGTAGTTATTGTAGCAGTTTGGGGTCTCAAAGGGTTAATTTGGTGATTCAGTGGCCTTGACAAATTATTTGAATTTGAATAATGCTTGAAGTTGTGTATCTGAGCTTGACTGAAATAAAACACACCGGGCAAGTGCTGAAACTCATTGAGTTGAGGTCTGAAGTAAAAGTTAAAATTTCAGGCCAACAGAGAGGCACTATTTTCTTGTTTTGGTTAAATAGTTACGAAGATTTTCTTTTATGGAATACTGTACTACAGGTCATTTTCTCGTGAGGATAGTCCCTCTGGCTATGGAAGGAGATTGCATTTTGTGCAGATGAATTAAAATTGTGAATACGCTATTAATTATTTTCTCTTTTGAGTGAATTTCTCATATACTGCCATCATCCCTGGTCTCTCAATAGCTCCAGATCTTTCTCTGGCTGAAGGAAGGACAAGCAGGATCCAGTAGCTCTATCTGACCAACAACTAGCAAACTATTAGATAATAAACAACCTTTCCAGCACATGCATTGCCTCGTACCAAATGTGTTTTGTTACACAAGGCATCCATGCATGTCGGTGTGCCATCAATGTGGGTCTTGTGAAGTGATTGGTTCATGTCTTTGCAATTTACCAAATGGAGTTAATCATATTGTTAGGGATAAGGTCCTTACACATCCTTCATTTCTTTGTAATTGCTTTCTTGTCGAAGGAGCTAAAGATAGCCATTCCTACGGGGCATGGACTGGTCTGAATTAATGTCGTTACTACCTGTTTGCTAAGATCACAATTATTGAACTTTGGTGCCGCTGCACTAAAGGGGGTGAGCACAACTTCTGTTACCCTGGCACCTTCAATCAGTGCATCGTAACCATTGAAATACAGGCATATGGAGACTAACTGCATCTCTAGAACCAAAAGGCAGATATTTTAAGCTGATAGCAGAGGTTTTTATTTAAGCAAGTTGGATAGAGCTTGCTGCCCCGCCGATCACATTTGAAAATAAGTTATCAGAAGTGATGTAAGATAATTATCGGAAGCTGGCATTAATCTTGGTCTAAGTTACATTGTAACTTCTTACAGTTTCATCTCATTGGGGTCACCCGGAATCCTTTGATGGCCCTTTTTGCTTGCAGAAACAATGATGATATGATCATGAATTCGTGGTATATGTTAGCAGGAAATTTGGTCGAGTTGAAATAGCAAACAATACCCAGATTCCGGGACAAAGCTGATTTGAGCTATTTTCCCTTTAGCCAAATTGAGAACACATTCTGTAATCATATCATTAGAGTTCTTGGACTATTCAATTTCTTTTACACTTAATGGAAGAACCTATTTTCCTTCAAAGCACACAATCGGAATTAGATTACAAAGCCATTATCAACTTATTATCATCAAAGATCCTAAATATAAGTAATCACGAATAAGGATTGACTCATAATCCGTCAAACTACAAACTTGAAAATTAGAAATTGACTTGTCGAGGCAAAGCAAGAAATACTTAAAGAGGAAACGTTATAAAATCTTGGGTGCAGGAATCAACGTTGGCATTGAGCCTTCGACTCCACCACTGAAAGTTCCATCTGGTATCGAATTCCTTGCCTTGTGGTTAAATTATTGGGCTTGATTCCACAATTCGGGATTACTCCCTACCAAGAGTTCTTTGCCCCCCCCTCCTCTTTGGTTATCAAGTTGCAGAACCAATTGAAAAATATAGGTTTCTTCATGCTTTACAATCCTTTCGTTTTATAATCTAATCCCAAAAAGAAGGAAAGATTTCCACCACCTTTCTGTTACAGGGCATTGGTCACTTTGTGAAACTGACTTACATTACATTTTCTCCTTTCAAGGAACCAGTTTTAAGTTGGAATGATTCAAATTCTAAGAAATACGTATCCCCCCATTATTGTGGACGGAACAATAACATTGGTTATAAATAAAATAAACAGGAATATGCTGTGAGCTAAAGCCGTACACCCCACCACCCAACAAAGCCTAATTTGGTGGATGAATGATGTTTCCCAGCCAAAATTATAACAATGGTGGAGGGGAAGCATCGACAAAATTTCAAAACTCAAACTGGCTTGAAGACAACTTGTATGATTTGTTTGACTAATATGATAATTTCCCATCATTACTTGAAATAAATCCACCGCTTTTTGCAAGTGAAAATTTGTTCTCCTTTTTCCTTTTACCCCTAAAACATAGACATTCTCAAAGATAATCGATTCCCCGCTGCTAAATAAAAGAGGCCAGTCTTTTCCCTTGGTTTGGGTCCCCCTTAAACATGCCCTCGCAAGCATCTGGAATCATATCTTCGGGTTGGCATGCATGCCACAGGCGGAAAGAGAAAGCCTTGTTTCATCATACTGCAACAAGAAAGCATTTTCCATTGCCAAAAGTCCAAGAGCATCTGTGGAGATCAGTGAGATAAAGCTGAATGAGTTTCTTTGTTATTTTTAATTTTTCCTTGTTAATTTATAGTTTGTGGAAGATGGATTTGAACTAAAATCATCATTTAAGAAGCCAAAGTTCAGTGACCAATTGCACTTATCCTTTTCACTTTCCTACGTAAATCAATTTGATCAAATTATTATCATAATTACCAAATTTAGGATTTGAAGTTCCGATGGTTGGCTTGGTTCAACATTTGTGTGGCGTTACATCGAGAGAATGAATTAGGTCATCGGTCAACTTCACTTGCAACCAATCACACCAATGATTCACGATTACAATGAATCCGAGAGACATAGCAATTCTAGGAGACCCACAAAGGCAAAAGACAAATGCAAATAAAATAAATAAATACATACATATATAAATAGCAGTGATTAAATTAATTACTACAAACGAAAAAGGGGATCACGAAAGTTTTGAACTATTTAATGTAGAAATCAAGATGGCAAGTTACTGTAATCATGTAGGCCAGTGCACAGCTCATTTGGGCCTTTTCGGCTTGCGGTTTCCACTCAAAACTTTTCAAATTCCATGCGAAACGCTTTTGGAAATTGGAGAGAGACACCTTGCTACATGCAATGTTGATGGACCCCATCGCATTAATTAAGCAAAGCATCGCCAAATGATTCCAAGGCCATTTAACAGATGGCAGGGTGACAGTCAAATTTCTTTAACATTTTAATTTTTAACTTTAGTAAAACAATTGAATCTTAACGGAGACAAAGAAGAAGGTCATCACTTGTTAATTTTTAATTTTTTTATTATTTTAAATATAAAATTTAATATATATATATATAATATAATTGTTTTCTAATCACGATTCATATAAAATTGTAAATTAATTATTATTGATCAACTTGTATCATTTTTTTTCTTTTACGTCCAGGATATGAATACAGTTTTATTTATTTTATGTGTACATTTGTTTATTTTTTATTTTTTGATATATTTACTTATAAATCTCGACAACCTAAGATAGGTGGTATAATACTTATTTACTTACCATTTTGATAATGAAGTGTTGCGTCCAAAAGTGAAAATGGGGATAAGCCCTCGCCTTTATTCTTCTTTTCGAGTCAAAATGCTCGGTTTAGAGCTTCAGTTTCGGCACAAATTTGCTGCTGAAACGACAAACAAAGGACATTCAATTCTCAATCCACTCAAAGCTATACTTTCAATATAGAACAAAAAGAAAAGAAAAAAAAAGAACTAATTTTATATTAATAAAGATTCCAGAATTTCTTTGTTATTTTTAAGTAATTTTCATGACAAATTAATATCAAAATTTTAGATTAAATAGATCAAGATATAAAAAGGATGTCGATAATAACTAATTCTATAAATTTCTCAATTGAGACTAGTTTCACATAATAATAAAAAAGGATAAAAGACCTCTTAACGCAAAAAGTTTAATGCGTTCGATGCTAAGGAAGTAAAAAGGACAATCAGATGGTGTAAAGGGTGTTGAATAAGTAGAGTTAGAAGAAATATGTATTAGCACTATTTGAATTTGCATCAAGAATAAATATGTTTAGTAATGCTATTGATAAGAAATTTGTTATAGAGTTGTGAGTAAAGTTAGAGAAAATCGATTTAGCAAAAAATCTTTCTAACAAGTTCTAATTTAGACAAAAGTTGTATCACTTGAACATAAAATGGAAAATGAAATCATGTAAAGCATATGAACAAGTTTTTGATGAGATTATCGATCAATTGAAAAAAGTTGATATGAAGGTGGAGGAAGAAGAGAAGGTATCGTTTCCATACTCCTATGAGATATGAATCTTTGATTTACAAGAAGAACACAATAACATTAAAACAAGTACAAGTAATGTGAATGCCCAGTGAAGCTTGAAAGAACAGTAAAGAAAAAGGTAGAGATTTGATTTACTTGATATTGGTGGTTAAGGTTTAGAAGTACAAGTCAGCCCATAATGGATCTAAAGGTGATAAGTTTAGATTTGGTGAGGTTAACTGCTTTTGATGAAAAATGTATGGACACATTCACTTATTCATAGGAATTGTCTTGCAAAATGAGACGAAAGTATTGTAATGTGTTTTTGTTACCAACGATGATAATTGTAGTTATTATCTTTGCAATTTTTGAAGGTATGGAAGCAAATTTTAATGATGGTTGGTATTTAGATTATGCTTGTTTCACTTATGTATACTCTCAAAAGGATTATTTTGGTTTGTTTCAAAAACAGTGGTTGGAAATTTTTAGGTGATAAGTCAACTACTAGGGTCATGGTCTTAGAGTTGTGAGAATCAAAATATTTGATGGGATTGTATGCTTTTTAAGTGGTGTGGTTTATGTTCCAAAGAGGTATAAGAATCTAATGTCATTTAGTCTACTAAAATTTAAAAGATATGAATGTTCTGCTAATGGTGGAGTGGTAAAAATCACAAAAGGCAACATGATCTTAATGAGGGTGAATTTATATAATAATTTGTATAGTCTAGAATATGAGACTTCAAAGCTATACGAATAGTGCGCGTTGATGGTAGTTATTAGAATAAATTTTATTTTATCGAGGAGGTGATGAAAGGTTTTCATAGTGAAAAAATAAAAAATTAAAATTCATATAATTTTCTATTTGTTTGAATTTTTTAAATTTTATCTTCATTATTTATTGGACAATTTTTATTACATTAACAATCTCTTTTGATAGTACTAAAAACAATAAATTACTTGCTGCTAAATTTTTTCAAACCCTCTATTCTTCATAGATTTGTCCTCGACAGATGTAGTAGTTGTAGTCATTAAATTACTTTATAAATTGGAATTGAAAGATAAACAAATGTTTTTTGGTTTGCAAAGTTTATTAAAATAAAAAAGTAAGCAATTGGCAAATGTTGTTTCCTTTTGACCTCATACTACCATTTTGTACAAAATATTGGTTAGGTAAAGCCACATTGCACTAAGAAAAAGTAAGAAGAAAAGGTGGAGGAAATTTTGTTATATGGGTATGCACATGAGTGGTCCAACACTCAACACTCAACACTGCCCTATTTGCCACTTCTCACTCCAATGCAAAATGATAGCATCAAATTATCAACACCCCTTCTCTAGAATCTTAGTAGCCAAACATGGCTCCATGTGATGTGAGTATTTTGTTTTCATCTCTTTTTCTTTTCTTTGCAAAATTTCAAAATTTTTGTTCTTTTAAAAAAATATTTCTATCAATTAAAGTAAATTTCAAATTGCTCCTCCCCCCTATCTACATCAATAGGCAATAGACACTCAATTGTAACAACTCATATTTAGTTTAATTATTTACTAATTTTCTTTATCTTTAATGTAATTAAAACCAATTAATCATGTGATAAAAAATAGTTTAATAATTTTTCTTTATTTAAAAATTGTCATGCTTACAAAAGATAAATAATAAAAAGTGATTTGTTTTCAAAATCACCAGCTTACCTTATTTAAAAAAAAATTACCTATTCAATATTAGTTGTACAACTCTTATTACCATAATAAATTAAATAAAAAACCAAAAAAAGATCTCTATCCTTGTCAGTTATTTTTACCAAGGACTTTATCATTTCAAAATATTATGATTTAAATTGAAAAAAAAAACAAAAAATTTCAAAATTCAAAAAAACTCTTCTCTATAATAATAATATATGCAAACTTGGATCATGGGAACCATGACACGTACACCCTTCCGCTACTCATTGCACCGACTAGCGTGCGCACATGCCCCCCTCTCTCTGCTCTTTCTTCCGCCATAAATCCCCCCACCCCCTTCCCCTACTTTCACTTGTTTTAACTACACCAAAGAACTCCCATTTACCCCCTTAGCCTCGAGGACAACCAAAGCCCACTGTGCCTCTCAACTCCCTCTCTTGTCCCTCTCCCAACAATGGCACCACCAAAATTCTCTCTTGCTTTGACCATTGCCATTCTCTCAGTCTGGGCCGCTTCTGCTGCCCACCACCACGCGGCGGCGCCATCACTTCCTCATCCTCCGTCGACTGCTCGTCTTTGATCTTGAACATGGCGGATTGTTTGTCGTTTGTGTCGAGTGGGAGTGAGGTCTCTAAGCCGGAAGGCTCATGTTGTGCTGGCTTGAAAACTGTGCTGAAAACAGATGCTGAGTGTTTGTGCGAGGCTTTTAAGAGCAGTGCTTCTTTGGGTGTTACTCTGAATGTTACCAAGGCCATGACTTTGCCTGCAGCTTGCAAAGTCTCTGCTCCTTCTGCCACCAACTGCGCAAGTGAGTGACTTAGCTTTCTGTGATTTTCTTTACTTTTTCTTTTTATTCCCACGCCGTATAGGATGGTGGCGAATGTGGTTAATTTTTGTTCAAGAATTTGTTTGGAAGGGAATTTTCAATTGCATGGAGTTTTTGAGGGTTGTGTTTTGCTGATTGTTTATAACACAAATTGGAGAATCTTCACCGTAGTTGTAACCTTTCTGGTTGTCTCGATGGTATATTATATTCACACCTATTAAGAAAAAACAGTTCCCTGCAAAGCTCCTATGGGTTTGTTTGGGTAAACTGTGTCATTTCCATGGGGAAAACCTTTGCTCCCCTGTCATTTTTGGTTGTAAATTCTCCTTTTAGGCAGACGGAAAACTTGAGTATTATGTGTTAGTTATAATTTATTTTTCTAGAATTTTTTGGGAAAAGAAATGAAGCATCCAGTTTCATGTCATTCATTAACGAGTAAAAGAAACGAAGATATTTTGGGTTTTAGAACTGATGAGTAATAATATGGGTTTTGTTTTTGGCAGTATCTCTGGCTCCTGCCGGTGCGCCAGGTATGTTCTGATAAATCTGATCCTTATCTGGACAGAGATATCCGGCTGTTGTTTCTCTCTTTGTTTGAATTTTTTACATCATTTTCCTTTTTAATAAATCTCACAGAATGGTAAATCCAACTTCAATCCTAATTCTAAATTAAATCTCTTGTGCAACATTCCCTTCAGAACTAAAACTGTCACCCCTTCAATTTAACAAGCGTATCTTCTCAGGTTTCTTTTGATGGCCCTGGTTTTACTAAAGCATTATACAAACCTTGTGCCAAATTTGTAGGTGCAACAGCGGGTGCGCCTACCACATTCCAAGGAGCAAATGAGGTAGCACCGGCACCAGCTCCCGGTAGCTCAGGCTCTTCAGTGCTTTCTGTTTCAATTGGATCTCTTGTTTTAGGCCTCATAGTTATGTTAGTCTCTGGCTACTGAGTTAAATGTTAGTGATAATTTGAGCGGAGGGAGAGGTATCATATGAGAGACCATTTTGATGTTTAGTTTGTTCTTGGGGATTATCCTCCCCTTTGTTTTCATGTGTGACTGTAGTAGATAGCATTCATTTTGTGGGTTACTGGAAACTTTGTGTGAGTTTTGGACCATCATTAGTTCAATATTTACTAGTATTCTATTTGTTTACCATTTATATTTCTAATTTAATAGGTTTAATTAACAGTGCTGTTGGTTAGGGCTTAGAACCAAAGTGTTCTGTAACATGAACCCATTGGGTGTTTTAGACTGCAGAATCAATATCATTTTCCTTATCGGGTTTTCATGGTGCTACAGCTTTTGACTGCTTTTCTTGCTTACGGGAAACGCTGGAACCTTCCTTTGTGTAAAGAGATTTTGTTGGTTTTGGTTGCGAAAAAATTGACGTTCTCAACCCTTTGGCCGCAATCAGAGGAGACTGTGAGAAGTCGACAGCCTAAAACAAACCGTCAGCATCTACGGCTTCTTCAATGCACCATTGTTTTTGGCGGCTTATGGAAATGACAAGAGGTTTCACCACCTAGGCCCAGTTGCACAAAGCCTTTGATGGGCTGGAAATGGAATTTCTGTTCTAACTTACTCTCGAGGACTATTATGCATTTAAATTTTCTAAGAGAACATACTAAATGGTGGAATAATAAATGAGGAGTGGCAGTGCCAATGATCCTCTAGCTTGGGGCAGGCAACTAAAATAGTGACAGCATCCTCATGATCTCATTTAACCTCAAACCAGCCGTTGAATTCTCTTGAAGAAGGAGACAGCGAAGCCATTACTACCTGCCTGGCATAATTATTATAATCAATATTCGAATAACCTTGTAAACCACACCAAACTGGCTTTGCGATTTGGCGATTCGGATACAGGCCATCCCTCACATGCTTTGACCAGAGTAGGGTTAGAGGTGGTGGCAAACGGGGCGGATTCATGTAGTGAAGGATTCAGTTGTTTTGTATCTGGTTCGTTTCTGATTTGGATTAGCGTGATTTTTAGATTGGGTTTTCTCGAATAGGGATCGTGTTTGGAGTAAATAATTAAATTTTGCATTTTACAAACAAATATCATTTAATTACAAATTCGATTGTTTTAGTTTTTTAATATTATAAGTTATCATAAGTTTAAGTTGTATAAATCTCAAATTTGAGTAATTTTGAGTTAAATTATTTAGATCAATTATTTGGATTTTTCAAATTTAGATCTCTTAATTTTTTAATCCAATATTTTTGCATTTGGATTCATTATATCGTCTCATCTTGTGTACATTCAATATGGCCTCAGGTTTCACCTCAACTTTAATAGATTATTCGTAAATGTTCAAGGCCTTGCCTTCCCTGAATACTACAGGGTAACCTGTTGCCTAAGATGATCAAATGCTATATGTAGCCTAAAACCTCCTCCTTAAAGCTCTTTTGGGCTTTTGGCCATTCCTTGATGCCCAATCTAATTTAGTCTTTATACATTTTTTGTTTGGGTCTTATTCCATGAACATTATAACAAAACCTACGTGATAGTACGCACAAAAAGGCTTCTATATCGCTTGTTAATAGGTTTCAAGCTCAATCCAAAAGACTTAAAACATGTAAAGTTGAGTGATAATCCATTTCTACAGTTACAAAAATCGCCTCGTGAATATATCATATTTGAAAGAAATGACTAAGAAGAATGAGATGATTCTTATTCGTTATTTTCATACTCTATTAGCAACAACAATTAGGTGAAAAAGTTGAAAATTTGATCATTTGAGAAGGGTCTGACTGGATACTGGCCGGCAATTTGAAAATTTGGTCCCTTTGGTAGTATCGTCCAAAAAGATATAAAGGGGCACCACTTTCGTGTTTTAGGTTATCTGTGCTACACATTATATATTTTGACTTACTAAGTACTTTATTGACTCTTAGGTAATGTTTTGGTACGAGAGAAATGAGAACGTAATGTATTTAATTAAATTACATTACAGTGTTTATTTAACAAATTCACCTCTGTTTGTTTTCTTATGACTAAAGTATATTTAAGAGCAGTGTTCAAACTGGTTCAGACTGTCCCATAAATGTTACATTCCTCGCTATATGTACATATCCTTACGCATTGACTTTGCTTGAAGCCTTGAACTACCCACCCGTGTGCTGTGTGCACATTTCAGTCCTTGCCTATTCCAGATTTGGCTCATTGCCATGAATTGTTCCTTCGGTTCAAGCCTGAGCGATGCCAAACCATTTCTTTCCCGTGTAAGATCTCATAAACCTCAAGGGAAACCCATCTTGACTGCTTTTTCCTGCAGAGCTCGTGAAAAGGATCAGAGCACCGACTTCTATAAGGTTCTTTCTCTGAACTCGAATCAGGCAAGCATTGATGAGATAAAGAAAGCTTACGGAACCATGGCTCGTCAATATCATCCTGACGTACGTCATCCTTCCAAGAAAGATGAATCCACGAGGATGTTTGTCCAATTGCATGCGGCTTATAAGACCCTGTCAGGTCCTGTGTTGCGTGAAGAGTATGACTGCAGATTGAGTTCCAGGAATTTGGAAGGAAAATTCCGGGCGGATTTTCCTGATCACTATTCAAGAATCAGGTGGCAGGAACAAATTCAAGAGTTAAAGAGGAGGTCCAGCTACCTAATGGCACAAAAGGAAAGATCATGGGGCAGTCGGATGAGGGCTAAGAGCAATGAGAAGAAGGACTAAGTGATTAGGCTATTTCTTGATTTCTTAACAAGATATTTGTTATTTGTCATATGATTCTTAGAGATGTAATTGATTTTAACTCATTCTTTTGAAGTGCTCTTATCAACGTATATATTATATATATGAAAAGGAAATTAAACCTTTGGTTCATTGATGCTATTGTTAATTCTTGTGGTTTCAGCAAATCTTCGGTTCATTTTTAATTTTCTTATAAGCACTAATTGATTCATTGTTTTTCAGTTACATTTTGGATAAACAATTGAATAATATGACAGGGAAAAGCACCATGGAATTAAGACAAAATAAATTGAGCATTAGATTCAAACCCAAATGAAAACCGACAAAAGTAAAACCAAATTTTTTCTTGCTTTGTTTAGAAACACAAGAGAAAAAAAAAGTTAAATTATGCAATTAATCTTTATAGTTTATAAAAAACGTAGATTTAATTCTTGAATAATAATTTATATAAATTGAGTCTTTATATTTTTTTTAATTTGTTAATTTCAATTCCTAATTCTAAGTCTTTAAATTTTCACCGTTAAATATACCAACTTCGCACTTTAGTCAAATTAATGTAACATTTTTTTATTGACATAGCATTGATTATGTGCTAATTAATATGATGAAAATATTGACATAACACATGTTGACGTGGCAAAAATATTGATGTCGCAATTGTTGACAAATATTTTTCTGAAATTAAAATTTTTATTACTTCTAAATAAAAAATAAATATTGATGAAATGGTACAAAGATTAATAAACATATTCAAGCCTTCTGTTTTTTTTTTTGGAGGAAGAGTAATTTCATTGCAAATACAGGAATCCATACAAAAGTCTCCTAGGGAGAGACAACCCAACGCTTGTAACAACAAAAAAATCAGGATGGCTGCAAAAGACCTTCACACAGAACCAGTTGCCTATGAGAGCCATATTCACATCTTCTGTTGGCAACAAGAAATCAGAGCCATACCCACAGGCTTGAAGTTGAGAGCCATACCCACTCTGGTTAGATATACCCACTTTCCTGTTTTTCAATCTGATCTAAATTTTGTAGTTTTTCTTATTTTGACCTGAAAAAAGAATTGTAATTCCCTTTAATTATTTCTTTTGAAAAGAAAAATATATTCTTGTATATGTTTGAGACTTCTTGCATCCAAATTTTTATCTATTTTTCCTTCCAATTGATATTTTAGTTAATATCATTTTCTGAACTGTAGATATTAATTTTACTTGCCTAATTGAATTTTTTATATATGTCACATGACAATTATCATGGCAATATTTTCAATGTGCCAGCATAGCCAATACAACATCATTACATAATTAATATTACATCAATTTGATCAAAATGTCACGTTATTGTAATTAATTAACGGTATAAATTTAACAAAGTTAAAATTAATAAATTAAAAAAATATAATAATTCAATTCACATAAATTATTATATAAAAACTGAATTTATATTTTTAAGAAATATAAAACCTAATTATATAATTTGATAAAAAAAAAAGTGGGTGCAAACTCAACAAATAAACCTGCCATAAAAAAGCCTTTATACATGGGACATTAGTCCGGTATCATTTGGATAATAAACCTTGTATAATATGAACTTCACATGTAAATATATCAGTGGAGCTCAAACTGTAGTCATTTAAGTCAATTTTACGTTGATATATGTTGAATTTTCTGGAAAAAAAATTGGCTGAACAGCTGCAAAATATTCAAGCTCAAAGGAAGAAGAAAGTCGGGGAAGAGGAGAGAGAAAAATGGACAATCAAGAAAAAAGGTGAAGTACGGCATTTAAAATAGTCTGCTTACAGGATGGAGAAGAATAAAAAGAAAGCCAATAGAAACATAACACTTGGCCATTCAATCAGTTACTAAGAACCATAGCCGATTTCAACACCAAGCATTCCAGCAGCCAATAACAATTCGACACATGTTGGCAGCTGGACTTTTACAATCAAAGAAATAGAAAATGCTAACCACCAGCAATAAAAGATTATTAAGTTTTGATCTTAATTTCACGTAAATTTATAAATATTTAAAAATAAATAAATAATTTTTAAAAAATATTTTTTATTAGATATGTAAATTTTATTTTTAATCAATCGTCAATGATTTCGTTAAATTGATAGTGTGATAATATTTTTAAAATAATTTTATTTTTTATTAATTTTAAAATTATCATTATATAAAATATTATTTTTTTATTTTTACAATTTCTTTCTCCCTTATCTAAGCATTTTCTATCATTCTTACACTAAATTTTATTCATCATATATAATGGCGACAACAATGACAGACGACATAACAAGCGTTGATTGGATGTTTCTCTACCTGATCCAGCGCAGGAATGTTGGATAGAACATTCCTCAACCAAATCCGATAACAGGAATGACAAATATGACACTTTCGTAGCCAGATCTAGCCAAGGAGCACCAAATTTGGCATTTTCACGACACCAAGGAGCATTGGTGAGAGCTAGATCGTGCAAGAAGGGCATAATATGGCACTCTCTGACCAGATCAAACCATGAAAATGTTAGATTTAGCATTTTCGTGGCCAAATATGGTCGAGAAGTGCCAGATCAGGTATTCTTGCATCGTCAGGGAACACCAATGAGGGCGAGATTGCATTAAAAGGGCACAATCTGGCACTTTCAAGATCGACATAAAAGAGCTTCATCGATCGTCTTAAGAGAAAGGAATATAGTGGAGAAAAACTAAGAGTATTTTAGACATTTCACGTTTACTCATTAATATCGTTTACACATGTGAAGCGAACTATCCATTTTGAATACTAATGACTAGCATGGAACTATGGTCAAGACTTATGAGGGGTCAGCATATTTTACCAAAATAAAAATACGATGATGATTTTTCTTTTGGAATTGAAAGAAGGGGGATTTGAACCCTACTATCTAAGTAGAGAGATCATATATCAACTAATTAACAAAATGTTTGGGTGTGCGATAAGTTAATAAAGTAAATATAAAATGACATTACAAAAGAAATTAGATGGCAACACTATTTAAATGGGGCACTTGAGACGACACGTGCTCTTCTTCCTTCTTTATTCAAACTACCTTTTCCACGAAACTCCATTAAAGAACCAGAGTGAAGCTTTGACACGAGAACAAAAACTAATCCCTTCAACACACTTCCTTAGGTTTTGTTTTGCACACACCTAACTTGGTCCTAAAAAGAATGAACTTTTTCTTGTTCAAGCCTTTAGTGAATATGTTAGTAATCTGATCGTCAATATTATAATGCTAAACTGAAATTTCCTCATCTTTAATAGCTCTCTAAATGAATAAAATTTGACTTTGCTATGCTTGGTTTTACCATGTTGAATTGGATTTTTTGCTGTTGAGATTACAGACTGATCATCAATGAATAGAGTAGTTCTCCCCTTTTTTTGATTAAACCTCATATCAAACAAACTCTTCCTAAGTTGAATAGCCTAATTTGCAATTTTTGTTGCTGTTATATATTCAACCTCAATAGAGGATCAAGCTACCACCTTCTACTTCTTAGAATTCCAAGAAAAAATAACACTCCCAAATGTGAAAAAGTAGCCAATTATGCTCTTGGAATCATCAACACTACTTGCCTAGTCACTATCATAATAACCAATCTCTTCATTACTCTTTTTCCTTTCAAACTTCAAGCCATACACAATTGTGCCTTTGATGTATCTTAGTACATGTTTATCAACTGCGTAATGATTCTAAGATGGATTCTACATAAATTGAGATAGCAGACTTGTAGTAAACATAATGTTTGGCCTTGAAACTATCAAATAAAGAAGACTACAAATGATATTTCTATATGTTGACCTTCTAGCTTTAGAAGCCCCATCTTCCTTGCTCAATTTATAGTTTAAAGCTCGTAAAGTCTCAATTGCTTTATTATTCTCCATGTGAAACTTCTTCAATAACTCATTTGCATATTTACTCTGATGTATGCAAATGTAATCTGAACCTTAAATGAATTGTAAGCCAAGGAAGTAATGCATTTCCTCCAAATCTGAAATTTTAAACTCTCTCATCAATTGGGTTTTAAAATCATTTAAAACACTCATTTGAACCAGTAATTAATAGATCATCCACATATAAAGATATAATCAGCTGAACTGAATTAGTAAAGTTGTAAACATACAGAGTAGGTTCATTAGCATTCCTCTAAAAATCTTTTGAAGTGAGAAATGAGTCAATTCGATCATACTCTAGAAGCCTATTTCAGTCCACATAGAGCTTTGTCAAGCTTGCAGACTTTCTCTTTTGTTGCTAAACTAATGAAGCCTTTTTGTTGCTGAATATAGATATCTTTAGTGAGATATCCATTGACTAAGGCTGACTGGACATCAAGATGGCAGATCTTCCAACCTTCTTAAATTGCCAAGGTAGTAAGTAATATGATTGTGTTTTGTCTTGCTACTAGTGTAAAGGTTTCTCAATAGTCAATACCATAGATTTAAGAGTATTTCTTGACTAGAAGTCTTGCTTTAAATTTGTTAACTGATCTATCAGCATTGAGCTTTGTTTATAGATCCATTTCACCCCAATGATGTGTTAATCAAATGGTTTATCTACCAAGATCCAAGTACCATTTTTCTCAATCAGTTCCATTTCAACTTTCATAGTTTACATCCATCTATTATCTTTTGCAGCTTCATTGAAGGTTTAGGTTCAATGATAGCTATGTTACACCTTGCATATACATACTGTAAAGATCTTGTTCCTCTCATTGCAAGATTCTCATATTCAATGTCTTCCCCTTGATCAACTTTATTCATAACTTGATCATTAATTAGATTCAATCAGAAATCTCCACTATCAATATCTCCCAATTCCATTTCGATCTTTCATTAAACTTGGTGTCTCTACTAATAAAGATCTTCTTAGTCTCAATATTCTACAACTTGTACCCTTTTGAAACATCACTATAGCCAACATGAATGGTTAACAAACTTTTCTCATCAAGTTTTGTTTTTTTTTTCATCTAGTATCTTTGCATAACAAATACAACCAAATATTCTCAAATGTGAAATAGATGGTTTGATTCCAAACCAGGTCTCATAAGGAGTCGGATAAGCTAATAATTTAATCTGTATCAAATTTAGCAAATAATTAGTTGTGTTAACAATTTATGAGTAGAAGAACTAAGGCAAACTTTTCTAGAATAGCAAATACCTTGCTATCTCCATCAGTGTCCTATTCTTCCTCTCTAATACCCTATTCAATTGTGGACTGTAATACACTATAAACTGATATGTTATGCTAAGCTAAGATAAGTAATCTTCAAATTCCTTAGTTGTATGCTCTTTACCATTATCAATTTTTAAAGGATTAATAGTCAAGTTCACTTGGTTTTCAACTAAGTTTTTAAACTTAGTAAAGCTTTTTAAGGCATCAAACTTGAGTTTAAGAAAATATATCTAGCTATACTTGGACACATCGCCAATGAAGATGAGATAGAATCTATTACCACTAAGAGAAGGAGTTTTCATTTGACCTCTCAAATTTGTGTGACTGAATTACAATTTCTAAGTTTCTTTCCATTTCCTTTCTTTTAGGAATGGAAGTCTACTTTTCTTACCAAACCAACAAGTCCCACACACATGTTCAAACTTTGTAATCTTAGCCAAACCTTCAACAAGCTCCTATGAGGCCATTTTTTGTAAAGACTCATAATTAATGTGTCCCATCCTTTTATGCCATAATTCAGAATCAATAACAAAATTGTAAAGGGCTTTATGACATGTATTCTTCCAATTAATTGGATAACATTTGTTCTTCATCATTACACTTAACAACTCATCTCTCTTTGGATCAAATATTGTGCAATATTTGTTTTTGAATAAGAAAGCATAATGACTATCAGTAAGTTGTCCAACACTTAGCAAATTCTTATTAGCTTCAAGAACAAAGTAAACATTTAAATTATACTTATTACCTGACTGAGTCTCAACAACAATTGTCCCAATACCAAGAATCTTTAAAAAAACTCTATTTTTAATCTCTACTCTTACTTTGAAACTTTTATCAGGAGCAGTAAATTGACTCTCATGACCAATCATGTAATTTGAAGAGCCATTATCAAGTAGTCACACACTTGTCCTAGTTGATTCACAAGCTTCTCTACCCATGAACAATAACTCATCAGAAACCTCAGCATGTTCTACAACTACAACCTTCTCATCAGTGTTAGAAGCTTTGTTCTTACACATTTTCTCAACACATCCAAATTGATTACAGGACCTACATTTCACATCAGCTTATACCAACAAAATTTGGAAGAATGAGTTTTCTTCTTGCAATGTGGGCAGGGAGGATATTTGTATCCTTACTTCCCAACCTTACCATCACCAGATTTCTTGTCTTTGTCTTTTTTTTCAAGTTATTCTTTCTTGTGCCACTGTTACAAATTTTCAGTTTCTTAATCTTAACTACTAAACATTGTTAACAAATTCATCCTACCTTAAAGCTATCTTTCGTTCCTGTGCTTGTAAGGCATTTACAAGCTCACTTTATGTAAGCTTTGAAATATCCTTTGAATCCTCAGGATAAGAGATTTTGGATTCAAATTTTTCTAGCAAACTCACCAGTACTTTGTTGACAATCCTCATCTCAATCATTTCTTCCCCAAGTAGCCTAAGCTGATTAACTAACTTCATGATCTTCTCAGAAAAATCCTTAATATTCTCATCTTTACTCATTCTAAGAGCATGTTTGGCCTAGTTTCTTTTTTTTATAGCTTAAAAGCTATTATGAAGCTCTTATGAAAAATAATAATTTTTAAAATTAAGCTAAAATTATTTGATAAACTATTTAGTAAAATAAATTATATAAATTCTAATTTTGGTTAAAATTACTATAACGGGTATCTATGTCATCTTCAATCACCTAATACATCAAAACGAAATAAGTTTGCTTTGAGTTTATATACGATTTCAGATGTTAAAAATCAAGTAAATTCATAAAGAAACGAAACAACTTTTAAACTTGTATAATAGTAATAGTATTAGATTTTTTAGTAAAGAAGAGAGAAAACCTTTAAATAGTACCTGAATACAGTTTTAAGTTTTGGGTTTCTTATCTTTTAATATTTATAAGAACAAAAAAAATTTAAATTTTGCTATTCTGTTACTAAGCCTTTTATTTTTTTTTTCTAATAGTCTTTGTAGAGAGAGATAAAGAAGAGGGAGATTGCAATTTTTTGTTGAAAAAGAGTGATTTGCAAAGAGAGGGAGAGGAGAGGGAGATTGATTGAGAGAGATGATATTTTATGAAAAATTGATGTAGTTTTAAAAAAGAGAAGAGAACGCTCCTCCCTAGAGCTTTTCTTTAAGTTTTTTTTTTTTTAAATTTGTTCTTCAAAAAAAAGTTTTTTTTTTTTAAATCCTGTTTGACCTGATCTCTACTTTTAAGGGATTATTTAGCTAAAAAAAATCAAGCCAAACAAGCATTAAGTATTTCAAACGGATCACCCTCACTTGTTGCATTAAAACAATAAGATAAGTATTCACAAATTTCATCTTTTGTACCTTCTACTAATTCTTTTGCTCTTTTAAGGTTCAATATTATCCTCATCATTTGATTTTCTATTTTCTAGAATTTTATCACTTTTAATTACTAATTCTTTAAGTCTTAGGAGTTAGGATTGAATTAAACCTTATCTCATCGAAGATAAGTCTCTTGATTTTATGACTAAATTAACAAAATACAAATCATTAGGTTCCATCACCATAAAATGATATACTCTACTATATTCAGCATATCTTATAAATATACATTCAATTCTACTTTCACACGATTTCTTATTCTTTGATTCTAGAACTCTTACTGTAACTTAACACCTTTAAACTCTTAAATAATTAAGATTTGGTTTTCTTTTATTCTAGAACTCATAAGGAGTAATTTTACTCTTTTTGTGTGAGACTCTGTTTACTATATGACAAGCAGTTAATAAAATTTCGCTCAAGCACCCCTTTCATAAACTAGAATTAGAAAGCATAAAATTGATCATTTTTGTTGAAACTTGATTTTTACGTTCTGTTGCACCATTTTGTTATGGTACATATGAAGTTATAGCCTCATGAATAATACTAATGGACTCGAAATACATAGGATTATAGTTTACACCTCCTCTATCACTTCACAAACATTTAATAAATGATTCAAAATGTAATTTAACTTCAGTTTTATAAATTTTAAACTTTTCCATAACTTTATCTTTAGAATGCAACAAATAGACACGACAAAATCTAAAAAAATCATCTATAAATATCACGAAATATTTTTTTCCATAAATAGATGGTGTTCTATGCAAATCACAAACATCAATAAGTATTAATGCAAGCAATTTAAAGTTTTTTCTATTTTAAGAAATGAATTATTTGTGATTTTAGTAACCATGCAAGTTTTACACAAATAATGATCTTTATCAAATGCGAGAATTAAATATGAATTAACTGTATCATGCATTCTTATATAATTAACATGACCTAAATGATTATGCCATAAACCTGACGATGATACATTAGTAACAGAAACATTGAAAGAAAAAGAGCCAACATAAGTAAAAATAGTAGCATTATTATTAATGTTAAGTTCAAACATGCTTTCATACAAATAACCACTTTCCACATTCAGTCCACCCTATACAGTCTACCCTTTGTAAAGATAAAATTATTTGCCTCAAATACTCATTTGAAGTCAAACTTATTTAACAAATCACACACAGTTTTTCCTAACTTCTTATACAAAATAAACATCATTTAATACAAGAACTTTTCCAGAAATAATAATAAGTTTAATAATACTCTTTCCTTTCACTTGTGTTGTAAAGGAATTCCTCATGTTCATTTGGCCAATGCACAGCTCATTTGGCTTTGTTGGCTCGCGGTTTCCACTCAAAACTTCTCAAACTCCAAGCGAAGCTTTTGGAAATTGGAGAATTTTTTGTACATAATGGATTTAAGGTTTGCTTTGAAGCTTTCTAGTCAATTTTGTGACATATACATAACAAAATTACAAAGAAAAATCACATGGTTACAAGAAACTGACCTATGAAAACCGTTCAGAGAAATGCCCCCAAATTTCTTTTAAAGGGCTAATACATAACAACTCTACTGATACTTGTGTGATAGAAAGCATCAACAAGAAGTCAACCTTGATCATGTGAAACTAAGAATGAGAATGACTTGGAAAAAAAGATACTAACGCCCCAGTGTTGGAGATCAGAACAATGATGAAGAAAGCCTTTCGTAAATTAACTTGAATTTACACTGCTTTTGCTAATTCGTTTAATTTAATCCCCCCATTTTATCCACTGTTCACCTTCAAGGGTTATTCCTCTTTTCGTATGAGCTCCATCAAAATTGGCTTTAGCAAGTTTCTTGTAAGCTTTGCTATTGAACCGTGTTGAATCTTCCAATGTTGAATTAGGTTGACAACAAGAAGACATGTTATGGTTCTTCCGTCTTTGGAGCACATGTTAGTACTGCATCTGCTACAGTGAGAAAGATTCTATCCTCCCCTATCAACTCTGGAAACTTTGAAGCATGGAGCTTGTCAACCACAACTGGCCCTGGATTGGCTAAAACAAGCTGCACAAGAAGAATGCAGAAATCCTGAGATATGACTCGATGCATATGCCCTTATATCAGCATCATAGAATGGTAGGTTAAAAATGTGCCATACACCACTAGTTTTAAAAAACAGTTTTTTATATTACCATACAAAGTTTGAGGTGCTTTTATTGTAGGTTACCTTAACATCCCTCTTCTCAAGACTTCTGAACAACTCTTCGAAGGCATGGATGCCACTGGTGTCAATGTCAGTAACAGCTGTAAGAACGTAAATTCATGAGAAAGAATTCTTGCGGCAAGCTTGATGACCAAAAGATTGAATGAGGTAAATTGAAGATCGCTTACGTGACATTTCAACAATCAAATACATAATTCTAGGTTGGAAATTTTCTTTCAGTTGTTCTTCTTCGTCAGCGAGCCATCTCAAAATCCTGCAGGAAATTTAACATTAGGCGTTTAGCATATGATTTATCTGACATTTCTTTTGGCGCTTTAGAGATTCTAATATGGAAAAGCTAATACCTCTCTTTAAAATAGTTGGAATTGGAAAAGTATATTGCAGAATCAACTCTGACAATGAGGATGCCAGGAACTTTTGTTGCATCTGGATATTGGAGGATGTTCCTGTAAACAGTAGTCCTTGGAAGCTTTCCAAGAATTGCTGTGCGAGGTCTTGTAACTTGTAAGAGGATTTTTGCAAAGGATATTGAAACCTGTTGCAACAAGAAATGGATATTTAGTGTATATATGTGGCAAATCAAACTTAAAATATGCCATGAATCTCCTTAAATTCTCACCGCAATTAAAAGTCCTATCTCAACAGAAGAGAAAACTACACCAAAGAAGGCTCCCATACAAGCAACAAAATCAAATTTATCGATCTTCCATATTAGAGCTACTGCTTCAATGTCAATTAATCCAATCACCGCAGATATAATAATAGAAGCAAGTATTGCATTTGGAGTGTACTTGAACAGAGGAGTGATGAGTTCCAATGTTAGTAGCACAACACAGGACATCACTATATTAGACACAGCTGTATGGCATCCGGCCATGTAATTTACTGCTGAGCGAGAGAAGGATCCTGCATGAACATTTAGATGATAAATCTTAGAATGATTTGTTATACGATTCAAATTGAAAAGAGGTAAACAATCGCTGTAGTTTGGCCATTCTGTTTTCACACCTGTGGCCACATAACAAGATGTCATCGAACCAACAATATTCATTGTTCCTAATGCTACCATTTCTTTGTTTCCATCCAGCTGGTAGTCCTTCATGGAAGCAAATGTCCTTCCAATTGCTACAGCTTCCTAAAGAGAAATTATTAGGCTTTAGATAAAAGATATAGTGACGACAGTCACTTTATGCCGAATCAAGAAATAAGGAGCTGAATATGCATACCGTCAATGCTATCATGCCCGCTACAACCCCTATCCTGAAACCTTTGCCAAGATATTCTCCAGAGAAAAATATTTCATTCACAGACGGTGGATTGACGCCTTGTCTGATATGTTTCACCTATATATAACATCATGAAATGAATCTTCCATTACTTTTCCCTTTTAAAAGATGAAACTTGGGAACAATCAAACAGAAAATGGATAAACATACGATTTGAACACCATGCTTGTCAGCACGTGTGATGTACACAAAAAAGGTGGAGAGGATGACAGAGATCAAGGGCGCAATTGCTGGCACCCAAAATAGTTTCTTCTTCCGTTTTCCCTGTTCCATTTTTTATGGTATCATCAGATTACATGTAAATTTTATACATAGATGAAGAAGGAAAGAAATTGATCTTACAATGTATTTTGCAACCAAGAGGAACGCCAGGAAGGCCACTCCTATTAGTATAGTTTGCCAATTCCACTGTAAAACAGAGTTGACTGTAAGATTAGCCAAATTCAACCATGTCTCATGCCACAAAATTAAAGAATCTCAAAAGTAAGGTAGTAATCACTTACACCATGATGCACTGAGCTCCATACTGAGCGCATAACAGAGACAATATCAGTATTCTTTGTGAATTTTTTGATACCAAGTAGACCTTTAAGTTGTTGAAGGGCAATGGTGACAGCAGCACCGGCCATAAAGCCAACTATGGCAGCATGAGATAGGAAGTCTATCAAGAACCCCAACCTGAAAGCAGTCATACCAGCCAATTATCATGATTTATACCCATAATGATGATATATTCAAAGGATAGAATATTTGATAAATCATTGGGAATAAAAGAAGGAAATTGGCCCATATAATCTTTCATTGGACATGGGCCAATATACCTTAAAAATCCAAGTGTGACCTGAGTGATGCCTGCAAAGAAAGTAGCAGTGAATGCAAGGCGTCGGTAGTCAACAGGATTATCAGATGAGTCAATCTCATCCTGCAGGAGACTACCAAGCAGGAGAGACACCACAGCCACAGGTCCAATGGCAATATCCCGTGAGCTTCCCATAAATGCATAAACAAGAGGTGGAACAAAGCTACTATCTGTAATGCAATTGAAGACAAGTTCTTCAAATCAGTAAATATGATCTCCCCCACCCGACCGCACCCCACCCCACCCCAATAACGTATCTTATTAAGTAGAAAGAAAACTTACATAATCCATATTGGGGCTCCAGATTTGCAAGCTTTGCATATCCAATATCCTAATTTTAAAATTCAAAATTATTAGAAACAGAAACCAAATAATGGAAATTTCAACTACATTATCTTGCAGATCACCCATACCTGTGGAATGCAAAGACTTGCAATAGTAAGTCCAGCAATCAAATCACCTCTGAGTTTAGAAAGGCTGTAGTTCCTTCCCCATTCGAATATAGGGAAAACCGCTCGGAAGCCTAGGACAAACTTTCTTGACCTTGGTTGATCCTTAAAATGGCGCAAAGGATCATCTGCAAAGAAAGTTTCCTTCACAGTGGCTGCAATTTCTTTCAGCAGGTTTTGCTTAGGAGGTACTCCCACCTTATGAACGTATGGCAAATTCTCTGAATTCCGACGTGATGACGAAGCACTTACAATATCCATCTCCTTGGAGCCAAGCTCATCAGTGACACGGTGACTCATTCTGTCTAGAGACTAGTTTATAACCTACACGATTAGAAGTAGATATCATAAGAAAACCTGTAAAGAAAACACTAGCAGCCCGAACCATAACAGTTCGAAAGCCAACTGAAATAGTTGGACGATAATTATAACATGTTTCTCTTTAAGAGAAGAAAGATATTAGACTCGAAGAGACAAATGCCTATGAAATCATAGACTAAGAGAAGATACTAACTTAAAATGTCAGTGCTGATCAACGCAGCTAATTGATTAGACCATAACACTGAAACGACAAGAGAGCCAAAGAAGATCTAAAATGTGTCTGCATTGGAGAAAACGGAGACGCTTCCCATTTATACGAGTGCAAGCGGGAAGATCTAGTCAACTATTATATGTCAAAAAGAGATTTCTCATCAATGTATCTAGCGCTCATCTATTCTACATACATAAGTCCCGACAAGTTGATTATAAATCAGGTTAAATTCTTTAAACAAATAACACTTAGAATTGTTTTGGTATTCTTTGAAAGAGATCATTATTTTCATTATCATCATAAACTATTACTCATTTGTTGGAGTGTAGACCTTGGGATTTGGTGTCCCTTTGTTAGGCCTAGAGTCATCTATAGCTATCCTATATTTTCTTCCGCTACAAACTAAAAAGCTTCATCCTTACTTTGAACTACTCGATTTGTTAAATTTAGGAATTCTTTAAAGGATAGTGGTGGATATTTAATTGCAAATCTGTAAAAGCAAAAAGATTAGATGCAATTTCTATTATCCGCGCTCAACCATCAGAAGTGCATTCCCCTTTTTTTTTCCCAGAATTTCACTTTCTGTTGTGACACTTATCTATTAAGATATTTGTTCAGCCATCAACTAGGCTAAATTTTCTATCTCCAGAAAGAAAAAAATAAAGCAAGGTTATTCCAATAAAACAGATGGTGGATCCTATTAAATTACTCTTGTCCTACATAACATGTGGGTGAAAAACACAAGAAAGAACATGCCAATGTGTCAAGAAACAAACGGTTCCCTTCACTGCAAAGCAATCAAACAGGGAAAAAGTGAAAGTGGGTTCAGATTTTGGCTTTCCAAGGAAATATGAACGGTAACAAGAAATTCATGCAATAACCTTAAGGAAATATGAACGTCGGAGCCTGGACACAACCCAAATTAACTAAAACCTAAAAACCCATATACCAAGAACAAGAAAAGCAAAAAGTGACCCAGATCAAATTAAAGAAAACAGCTTTTAAGAGTTGGTCTTTTCAGCATTGATTCAGTGCTAAAGCATAAAAAAGTCTTCCAGCAGAATACGAATCATTAACTTACTAAAAAACACAGCAAACTTTCCATGACCACCATCCAAGGTGAAATCATCATGCCAACCTTGAACCCCCACTACCCCACCCAAAAAAGAAAAGAATGGCAAAGTCAAAAGAGAAAATTGAGATGGAAGAATTTAACAAGGAGTTTACTTACAAAGCTTGCGTTTACATACTGGTAATGCGGCAGCACATCATCGTGTCCAGCCAGCTCATTTTATACACTTCAATGTTTTTATTTTTTTCCTTTGGCCGATTCAACTTTCTATTAATGTCCCAATGGAGAAAACATGAGGAATAGCAAGGGAGATCGAAGGTTAAAGGATGTCTACATTCGTTGAACCTGACACAGAGAGAGAGTTTTCTGTTCTTATTATTTCCTTTCCTGTATGTTTCCCTTCTTTTCCGGAAACAGAGTTCTATTTGGTTTTGATTAATGTAAACGTCCGAAGTTTCGATTTCAGGACTTACAAACCAGAACGTGAATAACAAGAATATATCAAATTTAAAGGACACGAATTTCATTGCATAAATACAAAATAGAAAGACAAATTAGAGATGCATGCAATGAAAACTGAGATGTTTAATAGTTTATGTACATTGCTTCTGTCACAAGAATGTTAGTAGAGACATAACACGCAAGAAGCAAAATTTATTGTATTTTTTCCTCCATTTGCATTATAACTAATGGTTGCTTAATCCTAAGATTAAAATCAAATTAAAGTGTAAATCACACGTATGCTAACTTCACTTAAATGTGATATATACAAATACATTTGGTTTATTCATTAATTAAGAATGTGGGTTCACTTTCAACTTTTGTTTAAACATAAAGACCCGGCCTAAGCTCATCTTATCCTTTAATCATTTGCTTCTTCTTTCCTCTTTCATTAGGGCACCAAGTCAGCTATTCATACTTGATCCTTCAATTATATAAAATTTTGGTCGAAAACCCAAAAAATATATATACAGAAATTTAAAAAAAATCGAGATATATATTGAAAGGGTACTTAGTAACTTAGCTAGGATTATAGACCAGGTTCAAGATCAAGACTTTGAGTAGATGAATTGATTCTTTATCATGATTTTTTTTAAAACAAAAAATTACATTAATTAGCCACCGTTAGTTTTACCTTTTTTTTTGGTCAATGTCTAGCATATAAGAAAGAGATTGACATAGTTATCATTGCACACAAACTTAAGGGAAACAACCTTGATGAACCAAATGTACAAATTAGGTGACATAATGATGTTAACATAGTGTGAAATCTTGGCTAAATTCCATGTAACGTTATCACAAGTTAAAATATAGAACAAATCGAAGGCAAATTAATTAAATGCGTTTTCTTCTTGTCTTCAGGTTCTAATTACCCCTTGCTATAGTCATTACATCCTTGGGTTGAATAGATAAAACCAATGGAAGTGAAATCTTAAAATGGAATATAAAAACAAAATAATAAAAAAAATATGAGAAAAATATTGATCACTAAATTTAGGTAATATTCTTCACCATTCACCGCCCCTAAATGCTTGTCGTTTGCCTAATGAATAACTCATTACTTTCTTGCTAGATGGGTTGGTTTGGTTGGGTTTCATCGACAGCCATTTTTTTAAGAAATATCCTTTTGGGTCACTCTTCTTGTCTTGGGGCAATACCACAAGAGTAAAGTTAGGCCCCCAATTCATTATTCTTTTATTAATTTTCCAGAAAACTTCGATCCCAGGATATTTTGGAAAGGCTTGTATATAAGGTCTGGTTTAAGCATACAAAGGTCACATGCAGTGAGTAAAGAGGGAAGGAGATTTGATTACTTGTTAATTATCTTATTGTGTAATTTAAGTAATAAATCGAAAAGCAAACAAACAAAGCTATCCAAGAGAAGTCAAGATTCTTTTTCTCAAATTCGTTAAACAAGAATGAGGTACTTCCCAATTAAAACAATACCATGTGCAGCGCATGGTAGATAGGCCTCAGGGAAAAAGAGAAAGACGTAATAAAATTCATTGTCTAACCATGGAACATCCCTATCAACACGACTCCACTTCACATACTCCGAAACCCATACCTACTCGATCTATCCCTCTTTTAAATTGGGTGAGGATTGAGGACCACTTGAATTAAAGATTTACCCAATTCTAAGATAAAAGCCAACGTCTGAGTTCTCTTTTCGACTTTGGCACAGAGCCACTTCCTTCCCCATTCCAAGTAAAAGGTTGCCCATTCAACAAGGCCAGAACTCTGCCTTTTTCACCTTTGAAATGCTCTCCAGGACTCCCACTGGTGATACGTGCCCCATCACAGTCACCCTCTTGCTCTCAAGGTCTATACTGAATGATGTAACTCCTGGTTTTCCAAACAGAAGAAAACAACTTTGCGTTAGCCAATTGGGTTAAGTCTTGACTCTTGTGGCAAAGGAAAGAATTGTGCTATATGTGGTCCATCAACCATGGTATTGGCGGTAGTTTTCTTAATAACACAAACAAAATGGTTATCCATCGGTTCGCAAGGTAGCAGACTTGCTATCTAAAACAAATAAATACTAGTTGACCAAATCACGGGAACTCATGAGTTGGCTTAATCCATGTGAAAGCCATAGCTGGTTTACTACTTTAAAACCGGTGGGGGCTCAGCTCGAAGGTGTGGCTTTTGCACCGAATGTGGACATTCAATTCAATGCCCCCATTTGGCTGGTTGGTGCAACTTGCAACTTTAAACAAGCTGAAAATGATAGGATAAAAAAAGGCTGAAAGGGTCGGTCCTTTACTCTCTGTTCTAAAATTTAAAAGGGCCAAGGCAGATTGGCTTCTTCAAAACCTTGACCTCAAAATCCGGTAACAAAAAGTTTTGGAATTTTTTCCACGTTTCAGAAAAGCATCAATAGGTGTCATATTATATACCAGTTGAGTTCATACTTGTATGATTTAACCGATATTACTTGAGACAAAAAAAAAAAAAACTAATCAAGCATTGATTCGCCTATATATGGATTGGAACATTGATGGTAATTACCTTCCATTTTGGATAAATGTTTCTTCACTTTACCAGCACAACCTTGGCAATGAAGAGAGACCCGCATGACAACCACCTGCAAGGACTCATTTACAAGAGAAAGGGACAATGTCACGCAGGGAAGTAGTTGTCGACTAATGGCGTAGCTCTTTTACACCTACGTGTCTTCAAACCCCCCTTTATAAGTTGCTTAAGTAGGATCTTCATATGCTGATCTATATTTTTTAGAACAGGGCACTGATTTATCATTTTTAAGTAAAAGATGGATAACTTAAAACTAAACAGGACAGTTGATTTTCGAGTGAGATCAATTACTTATAACTAATTCTAATGCTGTTGCTTCAATATTATGTGATGGGTCATTGATAGAATTAAATGCTCCCTAAATGCAGATGAGAGTATGCTAAATTATGTGAGAGAACCAAACCGATGAGGAACATATATCTCAGTTTATGTCAAAAATAGAAGGGACAATAGATATATGTATGTTAGAGTGATTACATTTTAATTAATCCCAGTATATTTATCATGAAGTATGCAATAGTCACGAGGTTGGCTATGTAGAAGAATCCACTAAACTTTCAGTTAGCAAATGATAATCTTCAGCTTCTTGCGTATTTATCCTATAGGATAACTATTATCACTTTCGAAAGATGACCATCTCTGCATTGTATGTACGTATCAAGTGAAAAATGAAAATATTCAACTGCCTAGCCCAAGTTCTTACAGGCTATACCTATACATGATCAATAACTCGAAATACATTACAAGAAAAATGTTTCCAAATTGCTCTAGCACTTCATCAAAAAGTTTATATAACCCTTTTCAAGACTGTTTCTTGAACATTTTTCCTTTTCGGTTTTTTTTTTTTTTTTTGATGTCGACCTGGGTAGATAGGTAACAAAGTTGAAAGCAGAATAGACGAGGTTTGGTTTTTTTTTTTTTTGGGTGTATCTAGCTTCTGGATGCTGAGCAAAAGTAAAGCAAACTGGTTACATATATGTATGGTTTTTCTTTTAGTGTATAATAAGGTATTTGAGGGATAGTAGTGGCATAATCGATCAAAGTCTGACCTGGAAAACATGCTCTGATGAAGCTAGTTGGACTTGTTTCTGGAGGGGCTTTGGCTTCTGTTCTTGATTTTGTTCCCTTTTGACAAAGGGAGTGACAATTGGTCTCTTATCAGATCCAACAAATCGTCGAGACTCAACAAGCCTAGAATACCTCGCATTGTTGATTAATCTCGTATCATCTATAAGGATTCTGTCTGGCCTTCTTGGCATCACAGCCGAGCGGGGATCAGCTGCCATGCATGTTGCATTTACTGCTGTGGAGTGGCACATGAAACCCCTCATCTTACCATTCTTCATCTTTCAAAGAACGAGAGGAGAGGACTGTGGAGGAAGGAGTTTTCAAGATAAGGAATATGGTTACATAAGAGAGAGCTATTTGAAGATGAAATATGAAGGTAGGCTGTGATGAGTAAAATGAGACGAGTGTAAATAAAAAGAAGGAAATATGCATGCTACATTTATGACTTAGCTAACGAGGTCTTGGAGGCAGTGACAGTTTTATTTGCATTGTCATAACCCCTCTGTTAATGCTTCCACCTTCCTGTCCTTGTCTCTGCTTAATGTTGAAAAGCGACCCATTTCTGGGATAAAATGACCCTGGGATGACTGAAATATCCTTTCTGCTAACTCTTGGGCTAGTACAATATATAGATGATTATGATTGATTGAAAGGAAAATCCTGAGAATTATTTGCGGAATTACATCATCAGAAGTAAATAATATTCCCATTGTTGAACAACTGCAATAGTTTCTGCCTCCCCAAAAATTACAGAAAAGAAAATTATTTTTAATTATGGAATTGTCTGGCCAATTATTTTGTGGGAGACAAGAAGGTCTAGCTAGGCTGTTCTGTTTCAAACCATCCAATAGTACAGCATGTTGAGAAATAAGGATAAAATTAGTATTGAAAAGATTAGTTAGTAAGAGAGAAGAGCCAATGTGTTGGACAATAAAGAAGGGTGGCAAAAGAACAGAGGAATAAGAGGGAAATTTCAGTTAAAAGTGGCAGAAGGGGATACAATAAATGAGTTTACCAAAGTAAGACTGCCACCGCAGAGCTGGTAACAACTAACATTTTCAGACCTGTTCTCGTCTCTTGTCAATCTCCCTTTCTCTCCAGAGCTGGTGCCCTGTCCATCTGTCTTGTGTGTGTCTCATAAGAGCATTGTTTTAAATACTTGAATTGACCTGCCAAAGTGCCAATGCAATTGTTTCTCAAAGTAAAACTTGAGTAAATGTCTCAATCTACCGGGGATGAAGTAGAAAAGGCCAAACAAAACAATCCAGTATGAATGTCTCAATCTTACAGCAAAATGAATGT